ACACAGCTTACTGTATGCAAATCAAGTACTGCCAATAAAATTAGAGACCACATTAACAGGTGGGTATATCTACCACAAATATACACTTCAATAGATTAACATTTAGACTTAGAAGTCCCTTTTGGGGGAAGGGAGGGGGGAGAGTCTGGAGAGAGGGGGAGAGAGAGGAGAAAATTTAAAATAGATTAACAAATAAGTGGACATTTTATTAAAAGCATAGATCACCAATTTCTCAATGACTCTAAATGTACATGTATGTGCAAAGAATGTGCTGCATTAAGTATCTAATTGCAAAAGGATGACTCACAGACACTCACAGACAACCATGTGATAATGACTTAATTATATATGTATACAGGAAAAAAGACAATAAACTAAAACTAAGGAATGTCATTAATAGATGGCTTTCTAAAGCCGTGTGAATCAGAACCTATTAAACTCCAATTAGGCATCATAGAGTAAGAGTCATAAGAACAGAATACTCTAGGGATATGGAACTACTCTTAGACAGGGCCACTGAGAGGGGGGGGCAAAAGGGGCAAATGCCCTGGGCCCCACAATTTTAAGGGCCCCAAGAAATTTTTTAAGAACTTAATTAAACAAAATTATTACAGAAGATGGGCCCTTCTGGCCTTTTGCCAAGCAAAAAGGTCATGATATCATCAAAATCAATCTTCCTAGCTAGTTAAAATTTAATAGACAAAGTGCATTTTATCATGCGTGCAGGTAAAAATTAATTAATTTTGACCACACCCACTATGAATATAATTAAAACTCCAAAATTTTTTGGCGCGCGCGCCACAATTTTCCTTCATGGGCCCCTCCAAAGCTCTCAGCGGCCCTGCTCTTAGACACCATAAATAGATTGAGCTACATAAAATTGGATCTGCTGCCCTATTTTTCTCCCTCTACAGAGACCAAATATGGTCGAATAGACCCCAACTGACCACCCTCTTTCTTCCATGTATGGTCTAAAGGTAGATTAAACTAGCTCTAGTATATACAACAAAGCATTTGATTAAAGGTCACCTAAACAGAGTGACTAATGTTATTATAGTGCACTGCTTATAGCTTTAAGTGGGAATGTGTAAAAGGGTGAGATCAGAAACAGCTCATTACGAGGGAAGTATATAATATCATTATCATTTATCAGTAATTAAAATTATCACTTGTATGAACCATAGGCTATGTCACACGTGGCCATTGTGGTTGACTGGTTGCAACAGGAAATGAAGCACTATAGTGCAATGGACTCGCCTGCTGGAATTCACCTGAGTCATATGTGTTACTTGTACTGTGATATTTTAAGCAATTTGAAAAAAATTATTATTATTGACTGCATAGTTATAATGATAATTAAAATAAGTGGGTGTGGTCAACAACTAGCTAGCTAGCTAGCTAGCTAAATCATGGCACATGGGTAGGAGAAAGAAGAAAAGCTGAAATTTATTTTAACATCTGAAGCTCTATTCAAAGAAGGAGTTGGCACAAAAAATTTTCCTAGATATTTAAAAGAGACTGAGAGAGTTTGGTTGTTCCTGCTTTCCTTAGTGCCGCCTGAAAAATTTTCAAAGAGGCTAAATCAAACTTTGAGCAACTGTAACTCACAAACAACGAAGTTAGGACAAAATCGTTCTTTTTGTTTTTTTGTTAGATGGAATTTTCTACCTCTGAAGCAAATCTCGGCCCTGTAGAGTGAAACACGAGCTCTCACCTGAAGCAGGGATTTATTATACTCACGTACCGGGATAGTCAGGCGGGCCTGACCCTCGCGGAAGGCGGAGTGTATTATAGTACAGGGATTTTGGCCAAATTTTGTCAAAAATGAGAAGAAGAGAATTCCCCATTTTTCTGATACATATCCATTTACTTATGTTATGTAGAAAACTTGAGCTGATTCTGATCAAAGTTGGACTTTTTATGAATTTTTAAAGTTGATACTGTAGTATTGCAATACTTGTCAACTCATGAATAATGATGCTATTTAGCTCATTTAGATTGCTTTGTGGGAAGCCATGGTTGTATCATTACATATAAAACAGCTACTACATTGTTTATGAACTTACCAGGTGCACAACTAACTCCAGCATCTTCATAGTGTCCACAGTTATGATTACCCCAGCCATTAAACTTACACTGTCCAATACTAGTCTCATTACCATTACACTGGACATTATCCATCCATATAGTACCAGTACCAGCACCAAAATGAGCATATCTACAAGAAAAACAATATTTAATAATAATAATAATAGTACACACGTGTGTGTGTGTGTGTGTGCTTACGAGTAAGAGTCCAATGCAGTAGGGTATCCTAATTGCTTACATACTACAACAGCATCAGGATAGCTCCAGTAATCATCACATATAGTCCCCCATTGGTCACCATGGTACACCTCCACACGACCATCAGTGTCACGGGTCGTGTTACTGTTTGACACAAGACGTAAAGCAAGACCTAATGAGGTTAGAAGAAGTCATTTTATTGATTTTCACTATCTCTCTATGCAGTTAAGATATTATGTACATCATTTATAATATACTAATATATTATATTTATTGTGACTTACTATC